AACATTATTATTTTTTATAAGCCGTATTCAGAACATTGATATATATATATATTTTTATTTATTTTTTCAATATTTGTATTCAGTCGGTGTTTTATTGTTGATGAAATATATTCAAAACTTCAACGTTTATTGTGTGTTCTCATTTTAAATTAAATTCAAACGTCGTAAAACTCCGCAAGGTAAAAGAAATTTTATTAAAAGTTTATATCTTAATGAGACAGTAACCCGCGTATTTTAGTTGTGATATTTATTCACATACAAAAATAGGAAAGGTATCAGATACGCCATGGATCCGAGATTCAAACATCCTTTTACTTGCGTTATATCGGGTGCGACTGGTTCTGGTAAAACTGTGCTTGTGAAAAAGATAATAGAGAATAGTGCAAGATTGATTTCACCAGCACCAGAAAACATTGTTTGGTGTTATGGGATATGGCAGAATCTTTACAACGAAATGTTTGACGTTACGTTTTTAGAAGGGTTACCCGATCAGAATTCACTCGACCCAAACAAGCGAAATCTGGTTCAATGCGATCAACGAATAACAAAGCTGTTTACTCTTGGCTCTCATCATCGCAATGCAAGCGTGATATACATAGTTCAAAACTTGTTTCAACAAGGCAAAGAACATCGTACAATCAGTTTGAATTCTCACTATATAATGATATTTAAAAACCCCAGAGATAACGCTCAAATCTCCCATCTCGCAAAACAGATATTCCCAGGAAAAACAAAATACGTGCAAGAATCTTACAGAGATGCTACTCGCAAACCTTTTGGGTATATATTACTTGATCTTAAACAAGAAACAGACGATCGCATTCGGCTGCGTACAAATATTCTTAGCGAACGGCCTATAGTGTATGTCCCGAAAAGTTAAAAAGGGAATGAAGGTTATTTAAATTGTCATTTACCTGCGAAAAGTCAAGCTGGATTCATGTCTGCCAAAGTGGAAAAACATATTGATATTTTACGCGCGTTGAGTAACTGCAAACCCCAATTGGCAAAGGCGATTATTCAAGCGGCTGATAAAGACTTGATATTATGCTTATGTGAATGCACATTGAATGTTTTGAAAGGAAACATACCTCTGAAGCCTTCGCAAAAAAGAAGACTTGCGCCACACACAAAAAATTTGCGTAAAATCACAAACAAAAACATTTCAATAAAACACAAAAAGAAAATCAAACAATCATCGTACAATCAAACTGATTGTACGATGTTCTTTGCCTTGTTGAAACAAGTTTTGAATTATGTATATCACGCTTGTATTGCGATGATGAGAGCCAACAGTAAACAGCTTTGTTACTCGTTGATCGCATTGAAGCATCAAGTCATCGACAACAACCAAATTTCGATTGTTTGGGTCGAGTGAATTCTGATTCTAAAAACGTAACGTCAGACATTTCGTTGTAAAGATTCTGCCATATCCCATAACACCAAACAATGTTTCCTGGTGCTGGTGAAATCAATCTTGCACTATTCTCTATCTTTTTCACAAGCACAGTTTTACCAGAACCAGTCGCACCCGATATAACGCAAGTAAAAGGATGTTTGAATCTCGGATCCATGGCGTATCTGATACTTTCCTAATTTTTTATGTGATTAAATATCACAACTAAAAAACGCGGGTTACTGTCTCATTAAGATATAAACTTTTAATAAAATTTCTTTTACCTTGCGGAGTTTTACGACGTTTGAACTTAATTCAAAATGAGAACACACAATAAACGTTGGAGTTTTGAATATATTTCATCAACAATAAAACACCAACTGAATACAAATATATATATATATATATCAATGTTCTGAATACGGCTTAGAATAATAATGTTAGCACCGCAACATAAAATTTATATATCCAAAGGCACTGTTGATACACCATCGGGTAGCTCTTTCCGTTTCCCATAAAAATAGGATCACCCATCTCGGTACTGTTTGTATACAAAGACGCGGTTGTTAAAAACACGAAATCCTCTATTCCAACCACCATTGGATTTACCAGACTTCAACACATCGATGAAATCGGTTTTGGAGAAGTTATTTCTTCTCTTACTCAGGCCCTTGGTGCTTAATTTCGTGTTCTCCCCAAAACAATAATATGTTTTCGAGCGAAGGCTAATCATACCATCACCCTGCCATTCTTTCTTAAACAATCCAGGTGTTCTCACGTCATATTTCAAACGCTTGGCACAACATTCACTCTCACCCAACCAAACATCCCCGCTGAGCGATGTCCGTACAAAAGCATCACGATGCCCGTCACACACATTCATAGCAATCATAGGGAACCAGTTATGGCAGTTTTTGAAAAATTCCTCTCTTTTCGGGCTTAACAATGGACTTTATATCGGAACCAGAAAGAGCAGTATAGAAAGAATCAGTGTCGACAGAAAGAAGTTCAAAACTTTTTCTGGCAACGTAATAACTGAGAGAATCGTAATAAAATTCCAACATCCGGAGTTTGGCCAAGTTATAAACAAAGAATCCCACCTGATTGGGTAAATCCTAATTAACCGAGAGATTGCGCTTCTCCACTTCAAATACATTATCGGAAATGACAGTCAACTTTCTGAAAGAAGATTCGTTTATTGATTTCACCGCCTTTGTCTCTGCACAAAGTTCTACTCGTCGATATTTTTCTTTATTTGAGACAAATTTACCACAAGCCGAGTTACCTAAAAGTTTGAAAGTGTCGGTTATAATGGCCTTATTAGGGTCGCTATCACCCATCCTACGTGCAGCTGAAACAGACTTAGCAAATTTATCAAAACACTTCTCAGGAGTGAATTGCACAACTTGATAGATTTTAGTTACCTCTAGGTCGTGTTGCAAATACCATCGGACCAAATCAGTGATTAATAAAAAATTTTCACCCAAGTAACTCCCGATTAAACATCGTCTCGGTAGCCCGGACATGTTTGATTTCTCAACATATGCCGCCATGGTTTTCCCTATATCGTCTTTACTTACCGGAAGTATTTTTCAAATATTGGGGTGAATTCGGCAAATGTTTTTTTTAAATCATCAGGCACTTGGATATCGCACTCAATCATTCCAAACAGAGTACCATTAGCAATCATTCGTAAAATTTTAGGCTGGCTCAACGCATAAATCGGCCTCGTGTACTTAAAGCCAGCCAAAAAATTAGAAATTTCAATCAATTTCCTTTGAGCCACTCACATTCTCGCATTTCAATTAATGTAATATCTTGCGATCGAATATATTCAGACACTTTCTCAGTTTCCACACGCAACTCACACATACTTTTATTTACAGTGGCATTAAATCCATTATTTAATTTTGTCTGCTCACATTCATGACCATGAAAATACCAACCATGAAAATTATAAGCAGTCTGAGTAACCGGATCAAAACTATCCACCCGTATATTACTTACATCGATCCGCCTCTCAGACCCGGAAAACTTAGTTTCGATTTTCCTACCACACATACTCGAACACCACCGCAACCATTCAAACGCTAAATGACCATATTGAGTGGCACGTTCTGGTTTGAAACCGTTCTCGCTTCTGTACCGTATGTACTCACCTGTAGGCATGTTTTGCGACAATGAATACAAATAAAGGGCATTAGCATCTAACCCTAAAACATTTTTACACAATTTAGCACCAGAGCCATAATCGTTTCTACGAATGTAAGTAACATTCTTCTCTTGATATCGATTAAAAATAATCGAAGTTCCCCCCACAATATTTTTTCGAATGAATTCGTGGATGTCTTTGCTTTTCACTAAACAACGAAAAATATATGTTAGGGTCAAGGGTTTGAAATAAATATTTGAGAGTAAGTCCAGGTACAGAGACGCCAGACTTGAATGCGTCAATTCGGCGAGCTTTATAAAAACTGCATTGCTTTTCAATCGCTTCCAAGAATGGGACTACATCTCTCTTATTATAAAACTAGAGATAATCTCGTAACTTTTCATATTATTATCAGACCAGTGTTGTTTACAAATGTCGTATTCCTCTTCGGAAATATTGCAGTTTTTTAGGGAACTAAAAAAGTCAGAGTGATCTGGCAAACGGGGATAATCAAGCTTTGACAGATCATCTACGAACTCGTATGGAAACTGACCCTTGGTGGTTGTACAATCAAAAGCTTTCAGATATTTGTCATAACTGAAACCAGGTGCTAAAAAATTCTTAATATCTAAAAAATTGAAGCAATCGGTTGTGATACTCAAATAACTATTATTACGAGGTATAACATGCACAGTAATATCCTTTTCAACAAAAAATGTAATCCCCTCACGTTTAATAAGCTCGAGATCGTAACTCCCGGAATTTAAACCAATAATCGGCAGAACTTTTATATAAGTACGAAAATCAGCTCTTAATTTAAAAAGTGAATGTTTGTATATAGCAGTTTGGTTATCAAACACAGCCAATTTCCTGTTTATTTCTTGAAACACATAATCGTATTTTCTCAGCAGGATGTCGTACGCTTGGTTTTGAATCTGAAGCAAGTAGCTCATAAGACTCTCAACCAATTTGTACGAATCACCGTCTGTTATTTCAAATTTGGGGCTCTCATATCAAGGTACGTTAGAAGCTACAGCATAACTCGAAGGAATATGTTGTGCCTCCCATGTAGTTTTGGCAGAATTTGGTGGCAGGTTAAATCGTTTAGAATAACATTCAAAATCAAACGTAGCTCTATACGGATAATACCAATGACTTTCAGGCACATTAATACCTTCATCACGGAGTTTTTCAAATACGGTTTTCCACCGGGGTACTTATGACGAACATTTCCCGTTCACTCTCTCTCGTGGCGAAGAAGGGCATAATTTCCATACCACAATTTATCGCATTTTGTACATTTAAACATTTTACAGTATTTACTTAAATCATAGATATAACTGGAGTGATTCAAGTATAAATTTAAATACATAGTCTGTTCGTATTTACCAAGAGATCGCCGAAGCACCTTTGCAACAACCCCACTGTCCTCCTTAATCAGTTCATAAACAAAAATATTTATTGAATATATATTTTTCTTCCACTAAAGCCAAGTCTTTTAAAGTTATTCCTTCAAATGTTGAAGGGGTTTGCTTACAAAATTGCCAAAGAAAAGATTTTTTTCTTCTCGAGGCCCCGCAGTGAGAACTTTTTAGCCAACGCCAAACATCGGAAGAAACACATTTGGTCTTTATGAAACCGTCCGTTAAGTTTGACTAAACTGTACAAATTGTTTCGGTTTTTAATAAGCATACAAGAGCTGCTCAAAGGAAACGATCACATTGGTAAAAAACCATTTCAATTTGAATATCATAGCGGAATATCTACAGACAGATAAATGATTTGTGAGATTCGTTGTCGCTTCAATCAGCTTGTTCCGTAATCCGGACAGAACCTGTATGATAAAATAAGTTAGATATCGACCTTCGATAGGAATAGTTGCTGATCGTAAGCAGAGCAGTGGGGATCATCCCACGAGGGGGGCGTAGACAATTTTCTGAGGGTGCGTTGAGCTAATTAAAAATATAAATGTTTGTTATATTTGATCTTGGCCGACTTATTTTGTATATTAAAGTTCTATCCACGTATTTTCATCGTGATTTTTGAATAAAACATAATTATTATCGCCTTCTTAGTACTAGGGCTGGGCATTTCGAATCGAATAGTAAATTATTCGAATCGGTTTAGAGCTAAATTTCGAATCGCCGCCATCTTGTTTTTATCTTTCCGCTAATGGTCGAGGTGAATTCCCCAATTTTATTTTCATTGGAGTCATATTTTTTCAACGAAATTCTAACATATGACTATTTTCTGTAGTGAGTTGATAAAACGTATTTGTTATTCTGTGTGAGCGCTCAGTAATCTATCTGGGTGATTTATTCTATGTCTTCGGTAATTCATTTGTTGAGAGGACCAATTACTATAATAAAATCGATTCCAATTATATATTTTCAAGTATTCGAGATTCGATCCGATTCGAAAAATATTATTTGATTCGATTTTGAAATCACAAGGTATTCGAAAATGCCCAGCCCTACTTATTACGCGAGACAAATTATAAAAGGGCGCGGATCAAAAAGTAACTACTGATAGAGTTTCGTTTGAATGCTTGAGTAATGAGTAACCACCTAAACTTATAATCGCAATTGAATTTATACAATTTCTCAAATCCATCTTGTGGATTAGGTATGAAATGAAACGGATTCCGAGTCTGGGTTAAACTTAGCCCCTGAAGTGAATTTGGCCTAATTTTGAGGGTATATTGGCGATCAGGAAATTTTACAGCCAAAAATTTACTCCACCCAACAAGAAAGCGAGAAAAAGCAACGCTGGCAAGTGTACTTCAGGGTGAGATTATTCGGACAAGTCGTGGCGGAACGCTTTCATCTGTTGACATATGGTACTTGTTTCAATACAAGCTATGATCAACAAGTATTGTCATAAAATCGGTCATCGCGGGTTGTTACGCACTCACTACGAAGAGACTGAAATGAACTGAAATGGAGAATTAAGTTTGACAACCTCTTGAAATAAAGCTTATATTTAAATCGACACACTAAACAAATTAAATTTTGTCACAATGCTCACAAACGCAGAATAATGCCCATAACTGAGAAATACTTTTCATTGTTTTATCGTTTTAAGGGCACTTCCATATATGGATAGTACCTACTTTAATAGAGTATACTTTAAGCTAGAGAACGAGTCGTGCGCAACTATCTGATTAACCTTAAGAAAACTGAAACCAGAGTTGTTTACGCATAACAAGGAGAAATAGGCAAAGAGAGTAATTATTTGAAGATTGTGGACCTCGCACGCGCGTGTCTCCAGTAGGGTTTCAACATAACGAGGAAGTCATGGGAATCTTTAAATACTCCGGTATAGGCCTGAATCATGTGGGGTTAGATTATGTGGAAGAGGATTGTTGGACTCCTGGATTCCCTCTTGGACTCCTGGAGGTGATTTACGTACAGCTGTTCCGTCATACCTCCGCCATTAAGTTCATGCAACCAAGACTAATAATAACTAGCTAACTAATCCCGATAGGCGATATATATGGACTGATCACCGGACGAGAAGCCGTGGTGTCCACGTAATCAAGATGTCTTACGGATTTCCTCTCTACTGTGATATATATGGAAAGACAAATATATCTACACTTACTTCAACTAACTCTCGATTCGTGAAATTTGCTTATCCTCGTAATCAGGACATAACCTGCATGATAAAATACAAGTTAAGAAGAAACTATCGAATCCGAAATATTTCAGCCCAATTTAAAACGCCTTTATGATTTCTGCAAAAGCGAAATGACCTCTGCCAATGTTATTTTGCATTCATTTTTATTTCACTTAACACATAGATGCCGGTACAGATAGGATGTTTCGGCTTGGAATGAATGATAGCAATTAATTTCAGTGTGAATTGAATTCAATTTAAGAAACACGGCCACTTGCAAAGAGTTAAGTAATTTCAGAGAAGTGTTCCAACCTTTATCGTTAAAACTTCTCTTCGCCTATTTTGGAACTTTTTAATATTATTTGACTTGATGGATCATGCGCAATCAAACTTTTGTACAATTTAAGTGTGTTATAATTATCCATGATAGTAATATTAATAATAAAGAAATACAGAATATTAGCAGCTGTATTTCAGCAAATACTGAGTAAAATTTTCCTAGTTTCGGAACGTTTAGGGAAATAAATTCAAAAGAGTCTATGATAAAAAGTTAACCTACCTTGCTTACGTTCGAGACACGCCGGAATGCCGTACCTTGCTCTACATGTTTTAAGCCCTGATTGACAAAATCCTAAAGCAAATAAAACCACTGTAGAAAACACTGTACGTTGAAAATTTTTGAATGTAACTTAAATTTTCTTTAAAATTAATTTAAATTGTTTAATCCATACTTGTTTTTGTCTCAAACGCAGCGGAAATACTAGATAAATTTCATAAACAGTTTTCAGCTTCCATCAAATGTAGGGACAATTTGCACACTACGATTTCGGTAACACAAACATCGGATTCTGATTATGCCCGTAAAGTATTATTAAAAAAATGAATTTTAAAGTTTGTTTTAGAAATAAATCATGATTCGAATTGCAAAAAATATATTTACTTACATACTTTATTATATTTGAGACGTATCGGAAAGTCACTCCTCTTGCTTCCCAAACGAAAACGCATACTTTTTCGTTTGAATAAATTCCATCACCGATTTCAATTTCTGAAATATAAACAAAAAGCTCGTTATAATATCATGGTGGAAAACGGCAAATAAAGTTTTATTAGGGAGACAGTAGTATGGACGAAGCAGCGGTATTGCAAATTACTTTATATTTCCCAAATAACTTTTAACAAGACAGCGATGCTCAAATTTATGGACACGAAAGCCAAAACGAAGTAGTCCACAAGATTCACAATTATAAATCTGATCTAATGCAAAAAAACACGAATCCACACATGAGCTCACTGAAATTTTTAAAATAAATAGCCAGTGGAACATTGAAATGAATTTACCCAAACTGCAGATCATCGGACTGCATAGTCATCAATACCAATAGCCTATAATACTTCATTTCATACTTAACTGAATAAATGTTCGTCAACCTAATTCCTTCAGCAGATCCCGATGCCAACCAACATTTCCAAAATTTGTGGTCAATTCCATCTCTAATATGTCATTTTAGGACATTTTAGTCCTAATATTAGTCTAACTGAAAACATAGATTCGCCTGCAACGGAACGAGAAGCCTGAAAAGGAAGCAAGGTCATATATTAATTGCCGTTAATAAATATTATTTGTTATACAGCTGAGACGTGGATAATTGGAAAACTATTCAAAATGTAAATTTGAATGCAGTCATAACAAAGGTACGTTTCGCAGCGCAACAGCCCAGTAGTTATAAGACCGTCATATGTAATCGGATTCATGTTAAGGGTAATAAAATAAGACAATACGATGACACTGACGTAGTCATAAAACCTCCAAGGGTGTATACCGTATTGCCCGCGCTTGTGCACTTATGGCTGTAAATAAATTAACAGTTATCTAATTACTCCTTGATCGTCTCCCGTGAGTCTTCGATTCATGAATTTGACAACAATCGTCGCATTAATACTATGTTATGGCCTAACTGTAATATTATTTAGTTTAAATTTAGCGGGTAGTCATGGTAACTTTCGTTTTCGTTCCACATCAACACGTCCACTTCGTAGACATTTGGATCAACAGTTGTAGGCCTAAACCTAAGTCTAACTGCATTAGTGAAGCTGTAAAAGACTCAGAAAAGCGGGTTTTAAAAGAAAAACGTTAGAATATAGATGGACCAAACAAATTAAGAAATGAAAACTGCTGTTGACGTCGTCAAACTGACTGACATGACATAAAAAGTTTTGGATATAATAGGGAAACAAAAAAGCCATTTATGCGCAAAAGAAATGACCGTTGAAATGACAAAAAAGTAATGTCACCTGTACTATTTTCGGAACATCTCAGCACAACCGCATCGTTGTCGAGTTTTTAATTTAACAATGATGTACATTTTACATTCAAAATAGCCCACTTATCTTTGCCCGGCCGCATCTTTCCTAGGGTCTTTGATACAACACAAATACTCTCTTCGCTACCAATCTGGTGCTATATTATGGCCTAACTGAAATCCCTACTTCAATTTGTATTTTAACCGTAGTTTGTTTCGCCCCAGCAGTTCCCGATGTCAACATTCGCAGCTTGTTTACATCCAGTCAGTTAAAGATCCAGACAAGCTAAAAGCCATAATCAGGCAATTTGTAATTATTGAATTCATCTAAATTGTAAATTTGATTACAAAGAATCTTACTTGTTTTAACTCGAATATTTCTTGTTCTCGATCGCCTTTATTTGTTTACGCCGTCGTCTTTGGTTCAACAATCACACACCAAGAATCATTCAGTAGCCTACTATTCTAGTGCCTAACTGAAGAAATGAGTTGATCTCTAATAATCATTGCAGACTCCGATTTAGATTCGCCTCGCCAATTTAAAACTTGTAATTTCAATTCCATTTTGTTGATATTTGAATGAATAATTGCAGGTCTAGGTTTATCGAAACTGCATTGGTATAGCTACAAACGTCTTAAAAATGTCTGTGAGGTAATACAAAATTGAATTATAAGAGAATTAGCGACACAAAGATGCACATAAACCATTAAACGCAAAAAATTCGAAAAAATAAAATCAGTGCTCACCTGACGGCGTCAAATTCGGAAAGACCGCCTAAGCGCAGACAAATTTTGACGTGGCAAGAAAAAAGTGTGATTATAATGAAGAAACAAAGAGGGTGAAGGAGACCGCAGAATGAAGATGCTTTTTCATTCGTTATTAGGAATCACATGCCTAGGGGACGTAAGAAAATGGCAAAACAACGAAGAAATGTTGGAACATGCTGTTTGTCACATTAACCTTTTACCACTACAGCCATATAATATTCTGGATAAATTTTATTCTAGACAATATTTCATATGCCACATTATTGAGAAGAAAAATAATTGTCAGAAAGATATTCTACTGACGTTATGGCGTGGACAGCAGGAAAAATCACGCTGACCAAACATACAGCGATTATAACAAAATCAGACGATTTTTTTCATATGATGCTTATTCAATACTTGTCGCTTCGAACAAGATAGGGTCATTGCAAGCATTCACAGATACCCCCCGATATGCTTTAAAATCTGCGATTCTCTAAAATAAAATAGGTTACTTTTAATTAAGTTTAATTTCTGGATATATTATCGAACCCGCCACGTCCTGGTCTATTGTATATTAGACCTATTCCGTATTCGTTGGAAATATTCGATAAAAAAAATGCAATTTTTCTACCTCTAGCAAGGGCGAATCTATGGCGCCCATGGCAAGGTTTAAAATGCGCCTCCCTTGATAGTTAGTTGACAATTTATAATGACTGTTGTTTGAATGAGATACATGTACGTTATTATTTGTGTAGAAACACGAGTTTCAGTTATTTCCAATTTGAAAATATTCTATTAAAACATTTTACGATTAAAACTTTCCGCTCTTATTGCGCCCCTGCCCAAACAGTGACTATGGCACAAGCCATGCTTGCCACACCCTAGATTCACCACACACCCCTAGTTAGTTAGTTCGAATGTTAAAATATAATTAAGAGGGTATGTCGAGTAGCAACATTCTAGCAATGCCAAATGGAAAGGGATTCTCTGAGGAAAATAATTTCTGTTCGCGTTGTAGATTCGATTGTTGGCGCACAATTAGCTAGATGTTGCCACCCCCTGGTTTTCACAAACTAAAAAGCCTCGAATACGTGCTGCCTAAAAATTGAATTACCATAAGTTCAATTTCCCCGAACATTGAAAATAAAATTCCAAGCGTACATTTTATCAAATTTAATAGCAGCAATAACATAAGATTCCATAAATACAAAAACAACATCTTGATTTAATTTCAGAGAGAAGGGTGTCACTGTTTCTACGATATTAAACAATCAAATCCTGGTCATATCATATCACCGTCAATTATAAGCTTGACTCTATATTTTGTTTTATTAAATGCCATTGCAACGAATAGATTAAGTGACACTGAATCGAAAAAATGTTCAATACGTCTTTGAAAGAATGACATATTCATGTTGGAGGCAAACACAAAACAACTGTAGTTGCGATTTTCTGAATTGAATTTGACGCCAAGAAATTTGGAAAGTAAAACCATACTTTCCGTAGCTTTTCTTCGGCGTCATTCCAACAGTTTAGATTTCACACAAGACTAAGTTTCATTGCAGCTAATATAATAGAGACTATAAGTCTCTTCTAACCGTGTGATCAACTACATTGTGTTGTAACAATGCTTGTCAACAGGATGTGAACACGGCGCGCCAGATTTCCCGCAAAGTAGCGGAAAAAATAGAGAAAACAAAATAAATTGTTACGTCAATGAAGTGCCGGAAACCATCCCGAAATTGTCTAATTATCCTCTTTTGGGTTGGTTTGTGTGCCATTGGCCTAGCAAATACCATACGAATTATATGCTAGCAGTACCAGTATCCGTATTCTTCTCAAGAATACCATATATATGCAAAACTAAATTTAAACTTCCTAAATTCGAAAGACTTGTAATTAAACACCGGCCTGGGGATGCCACTTTTATATTTACGAATCGGATCGAATCGCATCTTTTCCGAATCGATTCGAATCAGATTTATGCGATTCGGAAAAAGAGAGCGATTCACCGAAAAAAAAAACTATTGAACGTTTGTTAATCGTTGTTTTCGGTGGCATTAAATCTGCTGAATGCGTTTATGCGGCACTCCAAAAAAACACCAAATTATGGGACGGAAATAAAAATGAATTTTTTGTGATTGACTTTTTCACTGATCTGCCGTCATAAGTTTCAAGTTCAGCACGACACACACTTTACGTGTCATTCGAGATGATGTGTGGCGTAATTTCACCCAGACTGCGAGTTTAATTTCCCACTAAATGGCTGCAGTTTCTATTAGGCGCGAATTTAAATGGATCGAATACCTAAAAATCCGTCACAATTTTGATGAAAATTTTCAACATCACACCTGCGCTGCGACCAAGTTATGGTACGTCAGGCATGATTGGATAAGGAACCAGCTACCGACGTCTAGATAACATTTAATTTTGATAAATATTTAATTTAAACTTTGTTCCGAGTGAAATATTTCGCGGTACTATGTTTATGACATAACAGTACAATACAACTGTTCGCTGCTTATTTTCTCATATGAATTCCATCAAATTGCCTCAGTCCTGATACAAGTACTGCATGTGTAGAGCTTAAAGATGCACAATAATAACTCAGTATTGGAAGCAGGGTTGCCATACCGTGCTTATTTCTAAGATTTGTGCTTATTTTCTAGCGTGTGTCTTGTAAAGTAGCGATGTGCTTATTTCTAAGAAAAGTGCTTATTTTTGAGTTATGTCCTTATTTTGTCTTAGAAACATGGATGACTTGTTTATGTTTTGCGTACAAAGCTTTCGTAGAAACGGGTGACTATTTTTTTATGTTATACGCAACGCGTTTAATTTAAAATTATGTGTTAATGTTATTTATTAACTAATTTGTTACCCACATTTTGGGTTAGATGGTTGTGCATCTCATTGAATATGCACAGACGCCCTTTGGGTTGTTGTTTCCTGTGGAAGATGTTGAATGCTTGATGCTTATTGTGTGTACTTACTTTTAGAGGTTGCGTGTGGCCGGTATTTAATGGTTTTCCATGGCCTTGCGCGATTTCGAGGCTGTATGCAACCTTGTTTGAAGCGACTTCTAATAATAAAAAGATGGAGTGCGGAAGAGACTTGTGCATGATTCCTTTCTCATTTTCAATCTCTCCTCTGCCGTTGTTAAGTACCCCCAAAATAAACTTTAGACACCCGTGCTTATTTTTGGCTCTAGGTCGATGGCAACCCTGATTGTAAGACTCACAGATAAATTGCAATAGCGAGTTTTTCATCAATGCAGATATTGGTGATATATATGACCTACTTATTTTTTTATCATGATGGAAATAAGTGTGGCTCATTCACTGAAAAAACCTTGCCATCCTTGCTATCTAGCATATTCCATTTTGTGACTTTGGGCAAACATACGCATGCAATAAAAAAAGCGTAATGGAATCAGATTCGGAAAGATTCGATGCGAAATTTTTTGATTCGAAAAAAAAAATGTATCCAGAAGTGGCAACCCTAACCAGACCAATCTCTTCCCCATAGCACCAATGAAACCAAAATATATTTTCGTGTCTTAGCGATTGTTACACTAACTCCCGTGATCGCACTATTGTATTTTCGTTACCACGCGGTCGATACTCGGGACATTTGGGGGGTTCCGACCCGCAAGACCACCTCCCTGCCTACGCCACTGGGTGTGGACCTTGAGTTGACTGCCATACCATTCACATGATAACGCCTTCTATATAACAACTCATTGTTGGTTTAAAATCGCGGTGTTAATGACACACAGATCATTTCGTATATTATATTTATTTATTAAGTCGGAATGGATTCACGGATTCATCATGATATAATATAATGCCAGTTTTCTTGAGAGCATGGTCTTCTTTGAACAGCGCATAATCACAAACGTCAGAAATCTTTTTACCATTCCATATCTAGATAAAAAAAAAGTATTGAGGTTGAAATTGATGTTTGTTGGAAGACTTGCTTGAGTGATAGTGATGTATTTCAATTCAGTCGAGACAGTTATTTACACTTCAGAATAGAAAATGATCACATCGAAAAATTGCTGCTTTTAAAATCAATTTTTCTAATCACACAACAAAATTAAAAATATACACTCAGTTGGATTAGTGAAACGAATATTCTTTCCAAGCTCAAATATTCACATACCTTTCCCAACGTGGCTCATAATCCAACTGTTAAATGTTGATACATCCATGAAAAAATTAACATTAAAATTTCCCATTTTATCTTTTGATCCACAAGGTGGTCCAAAACCAGAAAATCCAAGTTGTACCCATCTTTCCTTTCCATCGTCACCAACAATCTAAATAGGAGTTTAGTTAGATAGAGAAATCGTAACAGCCTGAAAGGAGTGAACTGATGTCTCTAATAAAGGGCATGCCCCACAGACTTAGAGTAAATACATATGGTCATAGTCGAGTTACTTTTTTTCAGCCAGTAAAATTAAAAAAAAACGATATAAATACAAAATAACATGAAATGTGGGCAAGGCTATATTATCTAATTAAAATTTTGAGGATCGAGAAATTATTGTACAATATTTTTCTAGAACTCTTATTAATGATAGATTGGCAGAAGGTTAGAGTATTCATATGAATTCAGTGAGATTCATACAATTGGGACCAGTTTTGACAGCAGAAAACTACACTCTTGAGACGCTCTGCGTAAATGGACATTTTTAATGAGGCGCTCGACAATTGGCATTTTCATGTTTGTTTGAAAAGTTCCATAAAACAGTGCTTGTTGAATACCATATGTTGGTTTACAGGTTGAAATCAATGAGAGATAATTATACACATATAAACACTTTAACTCATCTAACAAGATTAACAAAGAAAGTGCTGTGACTGGCAAATGATTGCTAAATAACTGTATTGGACCTACGTTAGTAAATGTAGTGTCTTGAAGATGACACAATAAAAGATGTGTCATATTACATCATGTTAAACTATGATAAGCATATTCATCATAATTTTATGGTATACATATATATATATATATAAGCGCTATATGATAGAGAAGTATTGAAAACTACATAGTTCTATGAAAATTGTGATTTGTAATAAATTAGATGATTTGCGGGCTTGCGGCCCCTGTGTACTGGAGCGCAGAAATAGATTTGAGATCTCAAGTTCGACAAAGAAATTAACACAAATAGTAAATATTCTTACAATATTAAACATAGAAATATTTACCTTTTTCACCAAACCGTCACCACCTGTTCCTCGACAAGGTGCATCAGCACGAGAAGGTCTAACACACAATATGGTTTTTGTGGATTTAATTGAAGGCGATCCTTGGCATCTAAAATAGCATAAGATAGATTGTTTGGGGGATGCTCGATATTCTACCATTTATTTGCATTGTCCATGTGCTTCAATAAAGGAGGAATAAATATAAGCGATAGAAATATGGAACTACACGGTTTTGCAATTCGATGCATAAAATTCAAAAATTTTGTCGACGTCTCGTTATATTGAATAAGGAAGAAAATATAAGTAAACAAATAAACATACGATTTATCAGAACGGCGTACAATAGTCGTGGGATCGCTTTCCATTTTTGAAGTTTGTTTGAAATTTATAATATTTAATCCTGCAAAATATATTGGCACATTTGACGGAACATTGAGAGCTAGATGATCTCCTGTGATGCAAAAAAAAGAATATTTTATTGACATAAATAATACAAAACATACTTAAAGATTAATAATATGAGAACAACAGAAACGCTAAAATATAATATCTGCTGATCAAATAAAATAACATAGGCATTGAGAATGTTAGTTGATTTTATAAGTTATCATATATTTTATATTTTAATTATATTTAATATTTATTTCAAGAGCCTTTTTAAGAGTAGCATTTGATCTGTGTCAAGGGAATATGTCAATTGGAAAAATAACCTTAAATTTTTACAATGGTATGAAATTTTCTAGTTGGAAGATATATGTGTAAACTAGGATACTATGAATTCAATTCATCATTCAGAAGTAAGATATTTATTTAAAAAAAAAATGAAAGCCTCATATGAAAACTAAAAAAAAACTGAGCACAAATTATGACATTTTGGGTAAATTATGATTTTACTTCGACCTTAACAAAAAAATAATAAATATTATTTATTATTTCCGACGATTACCATGCGCCCTGCAGCTTTTTAACTTGGATTTTTTGACGCCATCATTGATGCATGGGAGGCATACTGGTCGAATATAATCATTGAATTCTATTTCTCCACTTGGTTTATGAGGATCAACAACCCATGATAACTTTCCAACCATTATTCGATCGCCAATTTCAATCTAAAATTAATTATAGCATGATTAAAATAAATCGGAAAAACTACATTGTGCAAACCTCAGCAGATATATTTTCCTAATGTTTTGTATTTGCGCTTTTTAGATACTATGCTTTGGCAAGAGTTCATGTTGAAGTGAGATTCATAAAAATGCGCCAATGCTTGAATCATCGTTCGGAGCGTTAGGAATCCCATGCGGGGTTAATTATGTGCGAGAGGATTGCTAGACTTTTCGCCTCTGTAGGGTGGTTCACATAACTGCTGGACGGTTAGGCTTTTTTCCACCATCAAGTCCATGCTTCCGAAAACATATAATTTCATACCCGACATGGGATGGTAACTGGACGAGAGGCTGTGCTCCGCCATATGGTTAAGCCGTCTTATCGGCTTCACTCTCCCCTGGGATAAATATGTAAATCCTTAATCCTATCCTATCCACTATTGAGTTCTTATGTGAAAAATGTTCCGCCTTTTACAAGGTCACAAAGATTAAACACTATGTGAAGAATAACATGAGGTAGAAAAGTAACTTCTATTTATATTGCATATAATATAGTAGGCGATTCAGGGTATATAAATGGTTTCCAACCCCATAACAAACAAACTTCTACCAAATTAGTTACGTTATGTTAAACCAGCAAGATATATTTAAATTGAATATTAACATAATTTACCAATGCAACGTCATACTCCTTCAAAGACCTCTGTGGATGTAAGAAAACATTTTTTGCACGATAAATCTGCATGTAATCTGGCATTGTATAAACGTTGATTGGATAAGATGTCACACCTGGATGAATAAATTTCAACATTGGAAATAAAATGCAAGAAGCAGTTGTTCGGAACATGGTGATCTAAGCAGTTATATTAAAAATGAGAAACGTGTATGTTCAACCCATTCTAAAGGGTTATGATAGATATGATATGAATTTGATTTATTTTGAATTAATCCGAAAGGAATTAAAGTTCATTCATATAGATACATAATCATTGGAGTATGCATTTTCATTCCATTCATTCCTAATCATTCCAGAGAGCATAGATGTATTAGGTGGAAAAAAATCACAGCCGTCCGATGTTAATTTACATTAACAATCACCATGAACTTGGTGAAAAATGGAAAGGCATAAAAACTGACATCTGTTACACCTCAGTCAGATATCTGTTCGATCCATTTTATATTTCAACTTACTCTCTGTAATAATAAAACTAAGAATTTTGACAAGACTTGTGTCGAAGATTGACAATTTACTTTATGATAGGTTTTAAAATTTGACTATTACATAGTCATATGCATTTTACCAGAGAATGATAGTAGACCAATTATTAGAGGTTTGCATCAAAGGTGGTTTTTTAAAGTCATTTTCTAAAATATTACCTAACACAATAATGACACATTTCATACAGCTCCTATGTACAGTAGATTCTCCTCCTGTCAAAATCCATTTTTTGTTGATAATCGTTCCACCATCAATCTGTTAAATGATAAAATCAAATGAATTGTGATACTGAAAACTGGCTGGGGAAATAAGGCGAAATCATAGGATACAGAATGTACTGTAATGTATGTACTTGTAAATATTATTTTCTCTTTCAAAAATAAACCTTACATTTTCAGTTAGTATATTTCCAGTACGAGCCAATGGCAGTTCAGAAAGTATAGTTGCTTTCCACGGCCATTGTCCGGGATATGCTGTATATGTGTAACCAGAATCTGATGCTTTCTTTTGTAAAGGAGCTGTCCCGCAAGTAACTGCAGTGAATAAAAATTAAACTCTTTAAAGTAATATTCGGGTCCAGATACTATAAAGCAATAGGATTTACAAATAGAGAAAAACGTGAGTTAGTAAAGCATAAATGATGTGGCAGGTAAAATTTAAAAAAAACAGATACTTCCCCTAATTCTATGTCTGATTCAACCCAAATTCTTAACCCTTTCCAACCTAGACATCGACAAAATGGATTACCAGTATGACTAAAGGCTAGCCACTGCACCTGTGATTACCTTGTGTGGGTTTGGAGGTTCGAATGTTGGAATTGTCATGTGTGAGAGGACTCGCCGTCATAAGGTAGTTCACGTAACCGCTGGTCAGTTACAGCTTCTTCCACTATCAAGTCCATGCTTCCGAAAACAAATAACTGACTATTCCCATACCCGACATGGAATGGTAACCAGACGAAAGGCCGTGGTTCGCCATATGGTTAGGCCATCTCATCGGTTTTCCTCTCCCCTGGGATAAATATGTAAATCATATCCTATCCTAATCATGCGGGGGATATTATGTGCAAGAGAATTACTGGACTCCTCCTAAAAAGAATAGGACAAATGCCAGATGGCAGTACAAATTCAAGTACATGAGTTGATTGACCAACACTTTGGGTCAAATACATCATAAATATATCAACCAAGATATGAAGTTTACACAATTCATGTTTGTTAAGACACATGCGAAAAATAAGTCAACCTCCAAAATAATAAAATAAGCATAGCCACTCTATAAGACATCCCCCCCCCCAAAAAAAAAATCAGGCCAAAAAATTGGGTACAGACAGGATGTGACAAATAGGTGCAAAATGGCTATATATGCCAATGTCCCCACGTGTAATCATCAATTGATGGCAATGGCTATTGGTGCAGCTGCTCAACAGAGCAAATCTACTACAGATTAAAATTATTGTTTGTACGAATATATTTGAGTTCTAACTGGGGAGCCGGAGCTGGAGTCGGAGCCTAGGGGCCATGGAGCCGTTACATTTTGATGGAGCCGGAGTTGTAGCCAAGCTTTTCCTAACAGATGGAGCTGGAGCTACCAAAAATTTAGTGGCTCCAGGCTCCAGCTCCTAAATATCTCATTTTTTGTTTTTCAAATTTATAATTTTTTTCTGATAGGGTTACAAATGAATTTTGGTTCCATGTAACATATTATGATTTTTTCGTGGCGTTGAATATCCAATCCATTTCAAATGTCTTCAATTCTGTTCAACGTATCTCGAGATTGAGTCGTTTTACAACAAAAGAAAGGTTTAACTACTCCAAAATGCACCGCAGCAGTCACCTATCATAAAAATGTATGGCAAAGTGCCCCATTATATCTTGTTTTGATCCATAACATAGCATGTTCTGGAGAAAAGTCTCATCAATTTCCGTTGTTATTTTTTGAATATATAAAAAGTATATCGCGAGTAAGATTGATTGCGTTTAGATTTATTTTGGTGACTGTATAATTTTCAAAGTCAACCGGTAAATAATATGTCTTGGCAAAAAATAATGAGATTAACAAGGCATTTTTTTTAGCTGTTGGGAGTCTCCTAGAACAAAGTTTATAGTGTTTTCCGTTTCATTTTAGTATCTTATAATAACTCTCCAATGTGGAAATTCGGCTTGCGAATTGACTTCTCTATTTATCTTTAACATCTCATCGCTGATAATTATGAAAACGCCTCGATTCTAGAACCAACTTTTGGCCTGATTTGGGAGAGGGGGACGGCATCTAATTGGGTGACGATGGTCATTTCCATTATTTTGGGTCTGCTTATTCAATTTGTACCATAAAGTACTGCCTCCCCGTCAGGCCAGTTTAAATTATCATGAGTTAAAGGGCTATTGCCGTTACTATCACATGTGCGTTGCATTTCGTGAAAAGCGTCAATTGTTTTGGTCGCCATAAACATTAGGCCATAACATCTTTTATTTCAGTGTTTATTTTTCCCTTAATCACAATTTCTTAAGACATATTATGTTTTGTGTCACGCACCATATTCGTGAGAAAACGAGTTATTACATAATCATCGGTGATGAAATTCTAAGATAAATAAAGAAGTCAATACGCAAACCAAATTTTCCTGATTAAAAAGCGACATTATAAAATACTAAAAATAAAACAGAAAACACCATAAGTTTTGCTTTAGAATGGCCCACGACAGATTTTATTTGGCCGCATGATTGCCAGTTATGTTGAACACAATTAAATTAAAATAAAAAGACAGTTATTATGGGTTAAATATTATGTGGTAGAAAAAGTCATTATGAGCTATTTTACCAAATGCGCAAACGCTGTGACCATTCCAGAAGCCGATTTTCCTTCCCGTCTTATTGTGGGGTTATTTGTAAAACCCTTATATGATGGGTAGACAGATTCGCCCGGAAATACAGCATCTGAATACAGAATCTGACACCGACTTGAAGGGTGTTTACAGCCTAAATAACATGCCACACTTAGAAAACAATTAGCAAAACACGTTATTGGGCTGCACTACTGATAATGGCTATGAAGCCGGAGCTGGAGCCAGCTCCGGCATAAAAAAATGAAGCTCCGGAGCCGGAGTTGGAGCTAAAGATTGAATACACTGCGACTCCGGAGCTGGAGCCATCATGATTTCGAACCAGCTCCCCAGCCCTGGTTCTAACATTCTCTGGTGCAAAATTACAGCTGAAAAGTATGTGGGAGCGAATAGACTTGTTGCAATTTATAGGTACAAATGTACATATGCAGGTGCAGTAATTGAACTGATAACCACCATCTACAAATCTTCTTTAAATCACTTTAATAAAAAGTAGAATAATAGGTATCTTTAATTACCTTTTGGTTGTATTGTTTGCTTTATCCAAGAATGTATTGTTGTTACGTCTGTGTAGTATTGAGGAGACCTTTCATTGCAGGCTCCTCCAAAAGTGGCTATACCCAACTGCACCCAACAAGTTTTATCACCTCTTTTGATCTGAAAGTAATAGCTTACTATTAGACCCAGCTGGAATTTATTTGATAATAACCTAATTGAGATAAGCAGTAGAAAATAATAATACAATAGTCATTACAAGCCAGAATCTTTTTGCCCAAAATTAAATTTTGAATTTCATTGTATTTAAGAAAGTAAACTTGATATCTATTTAAATTTTAGTATAAGCAATTAACATCAGACACACAGTTCAAAAACATTATTAGGAAAAATCTAAACCAATTGAAAAATTTCTTAACCTGTCCAATGCCTATGAATATTTTTTGAATATAAAATTTGACAGAATATATGCAATAGAAACTTTTTTTCTTTATGCATTTTAGCAATCAGGGGTGGAAATAAGTGAACTTTGTTCATGTTCAACCCATTCCCATGAATAAATTCCCACAACTATTTTCATATTATACTGAGTAGATTTTGAAAAACTGTATTATTTTTTGTTCATCTTTAAATTAACCTATCACACCATCCCTGGCACACTATGCCATCTATCTAGTAAGAAAATTGGACAGGCTATATCAGTGATTCTTAAACTAGGCTTTGAGAGCCACATGCGGCTCTCAACAACCCTTTCTGCGGCTCTAGTTAATGCTTTAAAAATTAATTACTTTCAAAGAAGAGTTTTCCTTGAAAACTAATCATTGACTTAAAATTAAGTCAATCGGTAAAATTAAGTCTTTTCGATAATCGAATGGATTCCCTCGTGTTTATTTGCGTGGCGTTGACTAATCCACAAGATGCAATAGTGACGCAACAGTAAGCGTTTTCACAGCCACTCGGACACTTTTCACTTGGAGGAAGGATTCAGACATGGCTGTAATCACTGACTCGCTTTCGTGGATTTTTCAGGCTTTGTCGCATTTTCGAATATTATGTATAAATCAAATAACTCAATGATTATTTTAATTTCCGGAGAGTTTTAATTTTGTTTCAATAATGGAAATTGTCCCAAAATATCTGCCGATAATCTCAATCAGCTACTGCACCTTGCATCCTCTACGATTACGACCCGCTTTGACGTAATAGTATTTAGTAGTAATTTATATTCCTGCCCTTTCTCGTTTTTTGCAAGTATAAGGGGTAGCTGGATTTCGAAGTTTTATATTTCTAGTATATCCGTGCGTTCAAATCAGCAACAGCTGTTGAAGACATTAAGGACTGATTTCAAAACCAAATTAATTTTATTCTGAACTTTTTCCTCTGCCTCGGCTTTGATCTCACTTATCACGGCTTGTACATTCACCCTCCCTGTTAAAGTGAACGGTAACCAAGATGCAGTTATTTAATAAAACGATACTTGAGTTTCTCGTGCCTTTCTAGGATGTTTGTGTTATTTTAGTATTAGATAGATAAGCCTCGTAAATCTGCGATTACATGAATCCTGAATGGCGAGTTAAAATAGAGAGTGAATAAATTGGCAATAAAGGTATTTCTAGACCTTTGGGCCTAACAAAGGGTCAGACGCTAATTATAACTAATTCCTTCAAGTTTTAACGTTTTTTTTCAACAAAACAACACTCTGACGGGTATTATAGCTAAAATACGTCCTGATCAATGCTTCTTATTTGTATTTGGTCAAAACTTAATGAGTGTTTTTCATACGAGTAACTCATACCAGCTTTTGGAAAACTTTGACTGGTCATTTTTAAATCCATGCTAGTTATATATCTCGAATTTTCTGACGACCTAAAATAACCTTTTTCACAATGAAACGCCGAAAAGTCATTTTAACATTTGATTTTAAGCAATTTTATGTTCGAGTCATGCAAGGAATGGCTAATGACATGGAGTTTAAAATCTGGAAAATTTATTCTATATACCTAATCTGGCTTGACGTTTCTAAATTTACGAAACGGTCTGTATGTTTTTTGCAAAATATAGAATTGAGACGATACGTTAAGTGCAAAGAAAAGCATATAAAACCATAACGCAAAGACAACAACTTTTCAAATTTGTCGCTTTTTCTGCTAGCTAGCACGGCGGGGAAATCTCGCACAATTCACGATTGAGTTGGAGATGCGCGAGTTCGGTGTCCAAGAAAAGCGGCGCAGGTCACATGGTAACGGATAATCGAATAGTAAAATGCCATTCCAATATTCTATTATTCAATTCGTTATTCGAATATTTTGCCCAGCCCTAGTTGTTACGTGTGTTGTTGTTAAGATGACTTGGTATTTTAAATACGTGCTTAAGATTTGTTGCTATTTTAACTTGCGTTTTTCATGTGCGGCTCTTCACAAATTTGAGGTTTGAAATTTGGCTCTGAGACTGAAAAAGTTTGAGAACCACTGGGCTATACTGAACCAAAAAGATTTTGAAACATACTGGATCACTACTGCTTTGCCAGTGTTTCACTTTCATGTCTTAAGATTTTTTTTACTCAAATATTTTGTCTCACAGTCAAGCTACTGACTTGTTTCACTAAAGCACTTCCGCCCGTTGACAAGCATGGAGCATCAGCTTTCCTTGATAAAGTGCACAACATAGAATCTGTGAAAGACATAGTATTATCGATTTTCTCCAATTTGCGGCTACACCTGAGAATTATCACAAAAGATTATATAAATTTATTGCATCATCAAATTTTCGTAATTACCACACCAAGATGGCACACAACCTGAATATAGTATATGTACCAGGATAGGGTTAAGGCTGTGCGTCATCTTTGTGCACATACTTCGGGAGCTTTGAAAAGACTGCCAAGGACACCATCCTAATTTTATCTATCTTTGGCAGTCATTGTTTGAAAATTTTTATACATTTGGCAACATGTAGGCAATGAATCATATTACTAACAACAACTGCTGATATTTTATAATATGGAAATAAGACCATCGACTGGCCATTAATGGCCTGCTCTGAAGGTCTGTATTCTGCATAAGCAATAAATATACATTTACCAGGGCCTATTCAATATTCCCACAGCATCTTTTTCAAGATTGTTATTTGCGAGCACCTTTGTATCTCTCACATTGACCCCAGTCATGAGTGTCCTTTGACCAGTTGTTGCGGATTTCATGGAAGCGAGCGCTTTTCCTAAAATAGCACATAACGGTAATCCATGACTAAAAATTGAATGAAAAATAAAATCAAAAAATCCCTGTAAAGTGCTTGTGATTATTATTTTTTTTGTTCAATTTTCCGGTTAAATTTGAGAAATGACAAGTTGTTTGAATGGAAAAGCTGAAACAGGCGACAATTTAATGTACATATTTGCTATAAGATGGGATCATAGATACCACAGAGTTCTAACTATTAACAATTTGATTTCACATATTATATAAATAATATACCGATATCAGTGAAAAAGAATTTTTCAAATTCCAACGTTGTTTTTAATAAAACTTCCTTACCATGAGCTGCACATTCTTCAACAGTGTAAGAGGATGAAATTCCACATTCTGTTACGCAAGGTAAACAAACTGGTCGAATGAAGTCATTAAACTGCACAATACCGGCTTGAATAGAATCATCAATCATCCATCCATTTCTAACGGTTTTTACTGGTTTTCCAATTCGTATCTGAACAGAATTAGTATACCAAATAATAGTCACTTAAAGAGATTTCTGTGTGCAAAGAAAGAAAATAGGAGAGAAATAAGACTTGGAAAGCTAGGCTCATTCATACAGCAGTCCAATAAATATTGTAAAGTGTTTTGCTACAAATTTGATTCACCAACATAAACAACATTTACCAGAGCAGCATCATAGTCGAAACTACTTCTTAAGTTGCGATTTGGATGGAGAAACACCTCGGCAGATTGGAAAGCCCTTGCTTCTTTAGAAGATGATGAAAACTTCGTAGAACCTTGAAAAATAAAGTCATCTCCTTTTTTTAATTGGAATACTTTGGAACTCAATGTATGAATAAACATACTAAAAAAGTATTTCCTAGGGAATATCTTTTACAACGAGTATGGAGATATTCCAAAGCTTTGGCAAAATGTAGCTTGTTTTGATATCTTCTACACAGACTCCGAAGGGGACCACCAGGCTCCTACCTAATACATATTTGTAAAACTATACATTGATCTGTGTAAATGATAATTTAAATCATATTTGGATATACGGTAGTACCCACCAAGAATAAGAATGGCACATTGTTCCCTCAAGGCAATTTTCATGATAGTAAATATATATGATGCTGATAAAATCCAATTGTTGTTTATAAGCGATCCAGATCCAGATCGCAATAGTAATGCAGATGAAATCTGAAAAATAAAAATATCATATATTATGTCGGGATCGGAAATAGTTACCCAGTTATTAAAATATGGTAGAAACATATATACTCACAAAATCACTACATGCTGATCTGGCGATAAGAATGTTAACGTGCCATGGCCACTCTCCAGGCAGAGCTGCTGTTCCTCCTCTATTAGCATACTTTCTATCCACTTGGCCACACCCTATTTCACTGCGTGATGATGTTAATGTTGTAATCTCTTTTGTTGTAACTGGTGCCTCTGAACCTAAATATACATCTCCACTAAATATATCACAATAGGAGTTTTTACTCCTCACCCTAAAATGTAATATACATGTGACCTTTTTTGAATGAATTCAAGTTTACAAGAATTACATAAAATGATGCTAAAATTGTGTCCAAACCTCCACAAGGATATTTTTTTTTGATCATGTGGCATTTTTCGTTACCAAGAATGGTATCATGCTACCTTGTTTATACTTTATCCAAGAGTCCCACTACCCTCATTGATGGTGCATGTACATATTATACCTATTTGAGTTCTTAGTTCGGTTCATTTTGCTCTTTGTTCAGGTTCAGCATATTTTATATACATCAGTTATGCGATGTGTATACATTGTGATACTTTAGATTGGTTTTCAAAACTATGTAAGACATAGAATGCCCGGGCTAATCTGTGTCCACATATTTCACTTTAATACTTATATTTCCGCTGCTCAAAGATTCAAGTTAGCGGCATTTATTAAAACAATGCTCACAAGGTTAAAGCCTAATAAGAGAGTATCTCAATGGGATTTTTGAATCTGATGCTTTCTTTTGTAAAGGAGCTGTCCCGCAAGTAACTGCAGTAAATAAAAATTAAACTCTTCAAAGTAATATTCGGTTACAGATAAGGTAAAGCAATAGGGTTTACAAAAAGAGAAAAACGTGAGTTAGTAAAGCCTAAATGACGTGGCAGGTAAAATTTAAAAAAAAAACAGATACTCCCCATAATATACTTAAAAATTCTATGTCTGATTCAACCCAAATTCTTAACCCTTTTCAACCTAAACATAGAAAAAATGAATTACCAATATAACTAAAGGCTAGCCACTGCACCTGTGATTACCTTGTGTGGGTTTGGAGGTTCGAATGGCGCGACAATGTGGCTCATCATGCTAAGCGTTAGAAATATGCTCGCCGCCGCACCTCTGATTACTCTGCGTGGGTTCACAGGTTCGAATGTGGGAATGGTTATGTGTCAGAGGGCTCACCGCCGTAGGGTAGTTCACGTAACCGCTGGTCGGTTACAGCCTCCTCCACTATCAAGTCCATGCTTCCGAAAACAAATAGCTGACTAATCCCATACCCGACATAGAATGGTAACCGGACGAGAGGCCGTGGTTCGCCATATGGTTAGGCCATCTCATCGGTTTTCCTCTCCTCTGGGATAAATATGTAAATCATATCCTATCCTAATCATGCGGGGGATATTATGTGCAATAGAATTACTGGACTACTCCTAAAAAGAATAGGACAAACGAAAAAAAAGTCAACCCCCAAAAGAATAAAATAAGCATAGCCGCCCTATAAGACACCCCCCCCCCCAAAAAGAAAAAATCAGGCCAAAAAATTGGGTACAGGATGTGACAAATAGGTGCAAAATGGCTATATATGCCAATGTCCCCACGGCCACATGTAATCATCATTTGATGGCAATGTCTATTGGTACAGCTGATCAACAGAGCAAATCTACTACAGATTAAAATTATTGTTTGTACAAATATATTTGAGTTCTAACATTCTCTGGTGCAAAATTACAGCTGAAAAGTATGTGGGTGCGAATAGACTCGTTGCAATTTCTAGGTACAAATGTACATATGCAGGTGCAGTAATCACCATCTACAAATCTTCTTCAAATCACATTGATAATACCGTATTTATTCGATTATAACGCGCAAAATTTTGAACTGAAATTTAGGCAAAAATCAATGCTGCGCGTTATACACGAGGTCTGAGAAATGCGGTATTGAAAATGTGGTTTTAAACATCTGAAACGTGCGTGCGCTTGCGCATGCACATTCCAATGCAGGACGATTTCGTGCAAGCACACGCACATGCGACAGCTCAGCGTGCGTTCGACATTCGTGCAAGCGTTCGATTTCGTGCAAGCACACGCACATGCGACAGCTCAGCATGCGTTTGACATTCCCGCTGCGTTGAGAATATTTATTTGCCATTATCGTACTGTACTGTAGATACCCATTATATATTACCCATTATCCATTATGGCAAGAGAAAAACGTTCTGCCTATAGGGCTGCATTCAAACTGGAGGTTGTTGATTATGCGGAAACTCATGGAAATAGAAAAGCTTCTAGAGAATTCAATGTACCAGAGACAAATGTCAGAGATTGGAGAAAGCAGAAAGTTGTTCTAAAAGATATGAACAAAACAAAGAAAGCGCGGCGAGGGAGACAAGCCCGGTACCCAGAGTTGGAGAAGGAGCTTTATGATTGGATAGTTGATCAAAGATCTAGTGGGTACATCGTCACTTCGCTCCATATTAGACTCCGTGCACAAAAGATTTGCAAAGATTCAACCTTTAAAGCATCTAATGGTTGGGCACAGAAGTTTATGAGAAGGCATGGACTTGCACTACGCCAGAAAACAAAAATTGCACAAAAGTTGCCTCAAGATTTAGAAGAAACCCAAACAGAATTCGAACAGTTGTTTGGTGAATCAGAGACTGAATCCGATTTTGAAGAGTTTTGAATTACTGTGTGCTTTTAATAAATTTTTGTTCATGCTGTGAGTTGTTACCTTATGTGCTTACCAGTAGTTAGTAGAGAAAAAATATAAAAAAGAATTTTATACCAATTTTCATTCAAAATTTAAAGGTGCGCGTTATACACGAGTGCGCGTTATAATTGAATAAATACGGTAAGTAGAATAATAGTTATAATTAATTACCTTTTAGTTGTATTGTCTGCTTTATCCAAGAATGTATTGTTGTTACGTCTGTGTAGTATTCAGGAGACCTTCTTTCATTGCAGGCTCCTCCAAAAGTGGCTATACCCAACTGCACCCAACAAGTTTTATCACCTCTTTTGATCTGAAAGTAATAGCTTACTATTAGACCCACCTGGAATTTATTTGATAATTACCTAATTGAGATGAGCAGTAGAAAATGATAATACAATAGTCATTACAAGCCAGAATCTTTTTGCCGAAAATTAAATTGTGAATTTCATTGTATTTAAGTAAACTTGATATCTATTTCCATTTTAGTATAAGCAATTAACATCAGACACACAGTTCAAAAACATTATTAGGAAAAATCTAAACCAATTGAAAAATTTCTTAACCTGTTCAATACCTATGAATATTTTTTGAATATAAAATTTGATAGAATATATGCAATAGAAACTTTTTTCTTTATACATTTTAGCAATCAGGAGTGGAAATCAGTGAACTTTGTTCATGTTCAACCCATTCCCATAAATAAATTCCCACAACTATTTTCATATTATAGTAGATTTTGAAAAACTGTATTATTTTTTGTTCATCTTTAAATTACCCTATCACACCATCCCTGGCACACTATGCCATCTATCTAGTAAGAAAATTGGACAGGCTATACCTGTGATTCTTAAACTAGGCTTTGAGGGCCACATACGACTCTCAACAACCCTTTCTGCGGCTCTAGTTAATGCTTTAAAAATTATCGTAATTACTTTCAAAGAAGATTTTTCCTTGAAAACTAATCATTGACTTAAAATTAAGTCAATCGGTAAAATTAAGTCTTTTCGGTAATCGAATGGATTCCCTCGTGTTTATTTGCGTGGCGTTGACTAATCCACAAGATGCAATAGTGACGCAACAGTAAGCGTTTTCACAGCCACTTGACTCGCTTTCGTGAATTTTTCAGTTTTTGTCGCATTTTCGAATATTATGTATAAATCAAATACCTCAATGATTATTTTAATTTCTGGAGAGTTTTAATTTTGTTTCAGTAATGGAAATTGTCCCAAAATATCTGCCGATAATCTCACCCAGCTACTGCACCTTGCATCCTCTACGATTACAACCCGCTTTGACTTATTAGAAATCAAAGCCAAATAAAATGGCTGTTAGTCTAGGGGTGGGCAAAATCGCATATTTTTTCGTATCGAATTATTTGAATATTTTTAACGAATACCAAATGGTGGAATATTGAATATATTTTATACACAACAGGAATCCAGAACATCGAAGGTCAATACTCCCTTTGGAAATTAATAGAAACTTTGAAAAGTCAGAAATAAAGCGTTATTTTACTGAATAATGGTTAATTTCATCATAATCGCTGATTGTCTTTGTCACCGTGATTGTTTCGGCGGCGATATGCCAAAGTTGGTCATTTATATTCCTGCCCTTTCACGTTTTTTGCAAGTATAAGGGGTAGCCGGATTTTGAAGTTTTATATTTCTAGTATACCCGTGCGTTCAAATCAGCAACAACTGTTGAAGACATTAAGGACTGATTTCAAAACCAAATTAATTTTATTCTGAACTTTTTCCTCTGCCTCGGCTTTGATCTCACTTATCACGGCTTGTAAATTCACCCTCCCTGTTAAAGTGAACGGAAACCAAGATGCAGTTATTTAATAAAACGATACTTGAGTTTCTCGTGCCTTTCTAGGATGTTCGTGTTATTTTAGTATTAGATAGATAAGCCTCGTAAATCTGCGATAACATGAATCCTGAATGGCGAGTTAAAATAGAGAGTGAATCAATTGGCAATAAAGGTATTTCTAGACCTTTGGGCCTAATAGAGGGTCAGAGGCTAATTATAACTAATTCCTTCAAGTTTTAACGTTTTTTTTCAACAAAACGACACCCTGACGGGTATTATAGCTAAAATACGTCCTGATTAATGCTTCTTATTTGTATTTGGTCAAAACTTAATGAGTGTTTTTCATACGAGTAACTCATACCAGCTTTTGGAAAACTTTGACTGGTCATTTTTAAATCCATGCTAGTTATATATCTTGAATTTTCTGACGACCTAAAATAACCTTTTTCACAATGAAACGCCGAAAAGTCATTTTAACATTTGATTTTAATCAATTTTATGTTCAAGTCATGCAAGAAATGGCTAATGACATGGAGTTCAAAATCTGGAAAATTTATTCTATATACCTAATCTGGCTTGACGTTTCTAAATTTACGAAACGATCTGTATGTTTTTTGCAAAATATAGAATTGAGACGATACGTTAAGTGCAAAGAAAAGCATATAAAACCATAACGCAAAGACAACTTTTCAAATTTGTCGCTTTTTCTGCTAGCTAGCACGGTGGGGAAATCTCGCACAATTCACGATTGAGTTGGAGATGCGCGAGTTCGGTGTCCAAGAAAAGCGGCGCAGGTCACATGGTAACGGATAATCGAATAGTAAAATGCCATTCCAATATTCTATTATTCAATTCGTTATTCGAATATTTTGCCCAGCCCTAGTTGTTACGTGTGTTGTTGTTGAGATGATTTGGTATTTTAAATACATGCTTAAGTTTTGTTGCTATTCTAACTTGCGTTTTTTGTATGCGGCTCTTCACAAATTTGAGGTTTGAAATTTGGCTCTGGGACTGAAAAAGTTTGAGAACCACTGGGCTATACTGAACCAAAAAGATTTTGAAACATACTGGATCACTACTGCTTTGCCAGTGTTTCACTTTCATGTCTTAAGATTTTTTTTACTTAAATATTTTGTCTCACAGTCTAGCTACTGACTTGTTTCACTAAAGCACTCCCGCCCGTTGACAAGCATGGAGCATCAGCTCTCCTTGATAAAGTGCACAACATGGAATCTGTGAAAGTCATAGTATTATCGATTCTCTCCAATTCACTGCTACACCTGAGAATTATCACGAAAGATTATATAAATTTATTGCATCATCAAATTTTCGTAATTACCGCACCAAGATGGCACACAATTTGAAAATAGTATATGTACCAGGTTAGGGTTAAGGTTGTGCGTCATCTTTGTACATACTTCGGGAGCTTTGAAAAGACTGCCAAGGACATCATCCTAATTTTATCTATCTTTGGCAGTGATTGTGTGAAAAATTTGATACATTTGGCAACATGTAGGCAATGAATCATATTACTAACAACAACTGCTGATATTTTATAATATGGAAATCTTAAGACCATCGACTGGCCATTAATGGCCTGCTCTGAAGGTCTGTATTCTGCATAAGCAATAAATATACATTTACCATTGCCTATTCAATATGTCCACAACATCTTTTTCAAGATTGTTATATGCGAGCACCTTTGTATTTCTCACATTGACCCCAGTCATGAGTGTCCTTTGACCAGCTGTTGCGGATTTCATGGAAGCGAGCGCTTTTCCTAAAATAGCACATACCGGTAATCCATGACTAAAAATTAAATGAAAAAAAAAAATCAAAATATCCCTGTAAAGTGCTTGTGATTATTATTTTTTTTGTTCAATTTTCCTGTTAAATTTGAGAAATGACAAGTTGTTTGAATGGAAAAGCTGAAACAGGCGACAATTTATTGTACATATTTGCTATAAGATGGGATCATAGATACCACAGAGTTCTAACTCTTAACAATTTGATTTCACATACTATATAAATAATATACCAATATCAGTGAAAAAGAATTTTTCAAATTCCAACGTTGTTTTTAATAAAACTTCCTTACCATGAGCTGCACATTCTTCAACAGTGTAAGAGGATGAAATTCCACATTCTGTTACGCAAGGTAAACAAACTGGTCGAATGAAATCATTAAACTGCACAATACCGGCTTGAATAGAATCATCAACCATCCATCCATTTCTAACGGTTTTTACTGGTTTTCCAATTCGTATCTGAACAGAATTAGTATACCAAATAATGGTCACTTGAAGAGATTTCTGTGTGCAAAGAAAGAAAATAGGAGAGAAATAAGACTTGGAAACCTAGGCTCATTCATACAGCAGTCCAATAAATATTGTAAAGTGCGTTGCTACAAATTTGATTCACCAACATAAACAACATTTACCAGAGCAGCATCATAGTCGAAACTACTTCTTAAGTTGCGATTTGGATGGAGAAACACCTCGGCAGATTGGAAAGCCCTTGCTTCTTTAAAAGATGATTCAAACATTATAGAACCTTGAAAAATAAAGTCATCTCCTTTTTTTCATTGAATACTTTGGAACTCAATGTATGAATAAACATACTAAAAAATGAAAAGTATTTCCTAGGGAATATCTTTTACAATGAGTATGGAGATATTCCAAAGCTTTGGCAAAATTTAGCTTGTTTTGATATCTTCTACACAGACTCTGAAGGGAAACACCAGGCTCCTACCTAATACATATTTGTAAAACTATACATTGATCTGTGTAAATGATATTTTAAATCATATTTGGATATACGGTAGTACCCACCAAGAATAAGAATGGCACATTGTTCCCTCAAGGCAATTTTCATGATAGTAAATATATATGATGCTGATAAAATCCAATTGTTGTTTATAAGTGATCCAGATCCAGATCCAGATCTAGATCCAGATGGCAATAGTGATGCAGATGAAATCTGAAAAATAGAAATAGCATATATTATGTCGGGATCGGAAATAGTTACCCAGTTATTGAAATATGGTAGAAACATATATACTCACAAAATCACTACATGCTGATCTGGCGATAAGAATGTTAACGTGCCATGGCCACTCTCCAGGCAGAGCTGCTGTTCCTCCTCTATTAGCATACTTTCTATCCACTTGGCCACACCCTATTTCACTGGGTGATGATGTTGATGTTGTAATCTCTTTTGTTGTAACTGGTGCCTCTGAACCTAAATATACATCTCCACTAAATGATATCACAATAGGAGTTTTTACTCCTCACCCTAAAATGTAAATTACATGTGACCTTTTTTGAATTAATTCTAGTTTACAAGGATTAGGTACATAAAATGATGCTAAAATTGTGTCCAAACCTCCACAAGGATAATTTTTTTTATCCTTTGGGATTTTTCGTTACCATAAATGGTATCATGCTACCTTGTTTATACTTTATTCAAGAGTCCCAATACCCTCATTGGTGGAGTTCTTAGTTCGGTTCATTTTGCTCTTTGTTCAGGTTCAGCATATTTTATATACATCAATTATGCGATGTGTTTACATTGTGATATTTTAGATTGGTTTTCAAGACTATGTAAGACATAGAATGCCCGTTGCCCGGGCTAATCTGTGTCCACATATTTCACTTTAATACTTATATTTCCGCTGCTCAAGGATTCATGTTACCGGCATTTATTAAAACAATGCTCACAAAGTTAAAGCCTAATGAGAGAGTATCTCAATGTGATTTTTTACTTATATTATACATATAGGTGTTGCCACAATGCTCGCAAGCCCAATTAAAGAGTATCTCATCATGCTTTTTCATTTATTTTTATGTCACAAGGTGAGATTTCCCATCGCTATCAAATAATTAAACTCTCCTGTTTAGTGTTGTAAAAGCATGGAAAGTGTCAAGTCCAGCATGTGATACTTTTATGTCTCATGTTCTCAACCTCAATTTGAAATTTTGACACCTTTAGTGAATTTCCCGTACTGTCTGTTCGTCTTGTGTATTGTAAAATTTTTATACCATGACAAAGCTCAAAATAAATCTCATCTGGTTCAGAGCGATAAATCAAAGACATTATGAAATACGAACAAATGACTCTGTACAAAACAAAATGTACCTGGTACTTTTTTATTTGCTTCATTTTTTTTTATTGTCATTATTATCCAATCCATTAAATATGGTACATTTGAATAAAACCCTGGATACATAATTCCACAACCTAGACCCCAGCTCACGATTCCAATTTGTATCCAATGTCGATTTTCTCTGGTGCCAACAACCTATTTGAAACAATAATATTTCAGTGCTCATTTCTGTATTTTGTCAATGATTCTGCTTATTCAAAATAATGATATAAAGTACACATTGCATCGTATCTTCAGTGGGACTGATTTGCAAACTACAACTACTACTTGTTAAAATACATTAGTGGGTCATATTATGAGGTTGAGAAGCCATGAGTTAACATAGATATGAATCGTCAGGTTCAAACTATGTGAACAATATCTCCTACAGCGTGTATATTAAAGGTTGCTTGTTTAGAACCTTTCTTAGAGGAAAAGCATAAAACACCTCAAAAAAATTGAAAACTGTTTCTTTTGATAAACATAATTCAGAATTTTATTAGAACCAACTTGATGAACGGTATGACATGGTTTGACATATAAATGAACCATGGAGATCATTACATCAGTTCAATGCTCTGGAAACACAGAAGCAATAACTGGCAATGGCTATTATAAACAATGTGCAAAAAGTATTAGTTACAGTATTATATACAGTATAAAAAAAAATCCTGATATACAAGAGTTGGGATAACATAAAATTTAAAGAGAAATTATGGTCATTAAGTGAAATTAAAGTCAAACCATACAATGAACTATAAATTATTGATCAAAGATCCTCACCAAAACCTTGTGCAATTTGATCGGATATTTCTAATTAATGGAACAACCAGTCAATAAAACTGAACTGAATACATATAAAAATCTGGCACATCCAAATTTTTTTTTCTAATTGGATATTTGTATCTTTAGATACCTTAACCAGTGGTCCTCCGCTGTCTCCTTGACACGAGTCCACATGTTGCGAATTATTATGACTTTTTGCACAAATCATCCTTGCAGTGAATCTGGCTGTTTGAGAATTCTGTGCTACCTGTATACACCTTAGAATAGTTCATTACAGAATTATGGTAGGTAGTATAATAGTATAAAATGGATACAAACAGTGTTCCCTATAAAGTGTGTGCGTGTGCCCGCACACACAGCTTTCAGAGACTGCGCACACGCATAGATTTAATGCGCACAGGCGTATTTCGATGTAATGTAACAATGTTCTCGGTTGGCAGGTTGAGAAAGTTTATTGTTTGCCCACCCATTACCCGGTTAGAACGCCAAAATTTCTTCCTTGGTTTTTGCACAAATATTGATCATTTCGAAAAAAGTGCGCACACACCAAAATTTCTGCGCACACATACTACAAAAAATTTGAAGGAACATTGGATACAAACATTGAATAAAATGTAAGAAAACATTTTGCAAGATTGTCTGAAATTTCTTCCATATATCTTGGATAGGACCAACAACACATTGGATTTCTGGCGCATTGTGTGAAGCGCCAGGAACACCACTGATTATCTTGCATAGATTGCCATGTTCAATTCATTTGAGTTATATTTAATATTGCAAATAGATGATAGAAATTACAAACATCTCTTTTAATAAATTTTCAAAATTTCAGATATTTTATATCTGTAAAAAAACTTTTTTTAATAGCTATCAAAATGGGTGAATGCAGGACATTTTTTATAGGCCAATATGGTCTTGGGCATAGATCCTGTCTCCAATATTATTGTCAACTCATCTATATTTTCATTATTACAAAATGAATAAATGTACATAACATACAATGCAAAACTTAATTTTTAGGCAATACAAAATCAAAACATTTGAAACTACATAAGCTAGTACATGTGTACTGTTGAACATGACCAAGTTTAAAATATATATACCGGTATTTAATATTCCATTTAAAAATAAAATCATTATCGGTATGTATTTGGAGTGGTTCAAAACACTCCCATGTTTGCGGAACAACAGCTAACCGGCTGAAATCAAACAATTTACTCCAAATACATTACGGTATGTACATTTATATGTGGAAAAAATGCTGAGTACTTAATGAAAGGACAAATTTTAAATGTAATCATCATATTCCAAATATATTTCTACCTCAGCTGCATGATTATGAAGTCTCAATTATGCATTCAAAATTGAGGGAAGAACAGTATGTGGGATTGGGAAAACAAATAAAATTTAAATAGAGATCTCACTTTATCTGAGGCAATATTGACAAATGTCCCTGTTGTAAAATATTAGGTACATATTGAATAGATGATCCAGGATCTCTTTTGTATCCGAAACCTGTTACTATAGTCTCTGTTCCAGAATCCAGATCTCGTTCACCTATTTGTTCAATATTGACAGCAGTTTTAGACAGTATGAAAAAAAAGGTTCAGTTTTTAAATTACATATTTTCAGATTTTTTCCATTGCTAATTACCTGTATATTACAATGACAACCTCATTCAATGTTATCAGTTCCATCAGAAGATGTTTGTTTTGGTGGATTTTCCTAAAACTATCATGTGATATAAATTTGTCAATTTCCTATGACGTTTTGAGAACACAATTTGATATTATAACCAAGCATAGCCAATAAACAGCTAATAAACAACCAAATGTAATTCTATTGTTATGTACTGTTAATGCTCTCTTTTTATTTATTTTTTTATTCATTACTTATTAATCTTGATTGGTAAGTATGTTGATAGGTATTTGTCTGTTTGTTTGTTTGTCTGTTAGACACTATCGTATGTTACGCGATGTCACACGAAAGCGAGGTTGAATCTGCTCCAAATTTTGCATTCATTGCATCATTCATTACATCATATTTCGGAGCCTCCTGTTTCTGAGAGGATTGCGCCTGGGTATAGGATGTTGCTGTGCTCCTTTATTACCCTGTGACTGGACAGGATTGTCATCTGTCGATGTGCTTGACCGGTTCCAATTGTACCATTCCGGTTCTTCATATCTTCGACAAAGTTCGTCATTTTCAGCTTTCATCAGCTGATCGATATGGCGTTTCCAAGTTACACCATTAGAAATTTTGACAAGGTATGTCAAGATGTTTAATAATTGTGCCACTGACCCATCTTCTCTTTTTGCTAGAATAGTCACGAGCCAAGACTGCTTGACCAAGTTCAAAGTATCTCGTTTTACGATTTCTTTTTGAATCTTGCACGTTAGTTTGCTTTTCATTAACTTTTGATGCTAGATCAGGCTTGACCAAGTCTAAACGTGATCGTAGAGATCGCTTCATTAATAACATAGCTGGTGACTCGTTCGTTGTCGAATGAGGTGTATTTCTGTACGCTAGTAGGAAATTATCCAGTTTGTGTAAAATATCACCTTTCTCCTTCCTCCCTCAGAAAAGAGAACTCTTGGAAACTCCGACAAATCTTTCTGCCATACCATTACTTGACGGATGAAATGGTGCAGATCGTGAATGACGTATGCCATTATTCTTCATAAAATTTGCAAACTCTTCCGACATGAAAGTAGGTCCATTGTCAGACACTAGTTGTTTGCATATACCATATCTTGCAAATATGTGTCGGAGTTCTTCGATAGTTCTTTGCGACATGATAGAATGCATAGCGATTAATTCTGCCCATTTTGAATACGCGTCAATTACAACTAAAAAAATCATATCCATGAACGGTCCTGCAAAATCAACATGAATTCGTTCCCACGCATTTGAGGGGAATTCCTACATATGTAGTTCAGCATTTGCAGGCATTTTTCGCGTTTCCTGGCAAGAAGCGCATCCTTTTACTCTATTTTCAATTGAGTTAGTAAGTTGTGGCCACCAGACATATGCTCGAGCCAATGCTTTTATTTTGACTATGCCTCATGTCGTTCTTCTAAAATTCTTGAATGTAATTTAGGTGGAATTACAACTCTGTTTCCCCACAATAAAATCCTTTATGAACACCTTCATGAGTTCATGTCTTCTATTGAAATATGGTTACTTGTAATTCATCATTTTTGATTTTGTTTGGCCAACCTTTCAGGACCAAATCTACCACTTTGGCTCATTAGTGGTTGCTTTTCTTACCGGTATTTCCGTACTTGTGACGGGCAATACTTCAAAAATG